AAAAATAACTCCTCCGTGCTGGGATGGGGCAGGAAAACTGGGTGGGAGAAGCCAAGGGGTACAGTGGGAGCCACAGCTGCCCTCCTGGCCAGTGCTGTTCGCCCACCCCCATCCAAAGTGCCTTCCTTTGGAGAGCAGGAGCTCTGCCTTCTGCCCTGATGCTTCGGGGTTGCAGAAGGAGCGTTTGGACTCTGAACCGTGCTGGAAAACCCCCTGAGCACCCGGGCTTCGGTGCAATAAATCACTTGGGCTTGATGGGCAAAAGGTGGCTGCGGTCTGTAACTGCAAAGCAAATCTGGGCCAAACACGGTGCCGCTCTCGGCTTGATGCAATGTGACAGGAGGGGGCTGGAGGGTCGAGGGATGCTAAGCGACCTCCACCCCTCCAAAAGCAGAAGGGTGATTCTTTAAAAAACACATTGGTCACATTTATTGGTACATGTGCTTCTTACAAAAGTGATGGGAAGAGGAGCCGGCGCCCCATCCTGCCCGCTGGCCAGCGGCAGGGTGAAGGGGGAGGCCGGGCGGCGGGGGCGTGGGGCACAGCGGCTCTGCTGCTGCTCACCTGCCCCGGGACGACAGGGGAACACACGGAGTGGGAGCAGGGCAGCCCCAGGCCCGCAGCCCTTTGCGACCAGGTCCCTTGCAGAGCGCAGGGCCCCGCGCTGTGTCGCGGAGCCGGGAGGGTGGATTACTCTTTGGCGATGGCGAATGGTTTCTCCACCTCGATGGTGCCGCAGTCTGCGATGGCGACATCCTTCAGGGGCTTGTCCCGGCTGTCTGTCTTAGTGTTCTCCACCTTCCTCACCACATCCTGGGGAAAGCAGAGGCGTGAGAGTGGGGCAATGCTGGGCACGGGCAGAGCCAGCTCAGCACAATCCCTGTCCCAGAAGGCACCTTCCAGCCCATTCTCCAGTGCTCTACCCCCAGCCAGCTTGCCTAGGCAGTGTCTCCCCCATCCCGATCTCTCCCTGGGAATCGATCACCCCTTTACCACCCATTACCCCCTTACCATGCCCTCCAGCACTTTGCCAAACACCACGTGCTTGCCATCCAGCCACGGCGTCTTCACCGTGGTGATGAAGAACTGGGAACCGTTGGTGTCCTTGCCGGCGTTGGCCATGCTCACCCAGCCAGGGCCATAGTGCTTCAGCTTGAAGTTCTCATCAGGGAAACGGTCCCCATAGATGCTTTTTCCTAAGGGGTGGGGGAAAAAAGGCCGTGTTGCTCTCTTGGAAACATGTCGGGGTAGGGGTGATGATGGCGGCTCTCTCCACAGGCTGGGTGGGGTGAATGAGCGCATCTAGAGGGGGGACTAACTTCCAACACCACAGGGAGCCATGAGCTACCTGGGGTGCTAAAAGCACCCCATGAGCCGGGCAGGAGGGATCATGCCCCCAAGGGACCGGAGCAGGAGGCTGTGTGACAGCAGACCTGGTCAGAGCTTACAAGCCCCAATGCCAGTTATCAACTTTACTGACGTCTGCTAAGTGCTGGTGGAAGGTTTGAACCCTGCTGCTACCAGACTAAATGTGTCCTGGCAGCCAGGACACCCGGCAGAGGCACCAGCTGCTGCAGAGGGAAGTTTTCCCAGTGAGGAGCTCCAGGTCCTCCTGGGGCAGAGGGCACAGTTACAGGGGTAATACTCGGGCACCAGCCAGTCATGCCTCACTGCGCTCATCCCTCCTCAGCGCCAAGCTCTGCTTTGAGGCCAGGTCACCAGGAGCTGTGTGCTCGCTCATGGCCGCTCGTTCCCACTGTGGCACCATGCTCCAGCTCCACGCTGGTCCCCAGGGGTAGCCAGGCAGCGGGTTGGGAGCGTGGCTGCTGTCTCGCTTCAAAACAGCGGCTGGATCCTTGGGCTAGTGGGGGCCAAATTACCTCCAGTGCCATCACCACGGGTGAAGTCTCCTCCCTGGATCATGAAGTCCTTGATCACACGGTGGAACTTGCTGCCCTTGAAGCCAAATCCTTTCTGGGATGGGGAAGGAGAAAATGGAGTGAGGCAATGGGGCGGACTAGAGTTCCCTCCGTCTAGCTCTGCCCCAGGTCACCAAGCAGGAGCCTCCCAGGCAGCCGGGCGAGGCCCAGCCAGGGAGCCGCTGGCCCCTCACCTCTCCAGTGGCCAATGCCACAAAGTTCTCCACCGTCTTGGGCACTGTCTTGCCAAAGAGCCCGATGACAACGCGGCCCACGTCCTCCTCGCCTATCCGCAGGTCGAAGAACACCTTGGTGGGGGGTGGGAGTAGGTTAGGGGGGGCAGCAGCAGAGCCAGC